GCATTCATGAGGGGTATCATTCATCGCTACGCACTGATGATGCCATCTCGTCTGTAGCTTGACTGTCAAAGTTGGCAAGCATATGAACACAAGCATACCACACACAAGTTAAAACAGTGTGAGCACATCAAGTAGGTAATCCGTATCTTAATAGGAGACGCAAAAATGAATAACAACTCCCCTGATCAAGTGATTACTGAATACTGTATTGTGGGAGCAAACAGAAATTTGAATCTGCACAACCCCATTGAAATACGATCAAAAGTATTAAAAAAAGTAAACTATGACTTGTCAATACTCTGATCGCGTTTCACGTCCTCACGTGATATCGTTAGAAATATCGTTTAATACAGTAGAGTAGGACTCAAAAATGTGAGATGTCTGTGGATAATCGTTATCGGAATCTAATATTTGAGACACGCACAACCAACAGTCGTTTGAATTGCTGCACTGAGTTCGCTTCCACTATATGTTCCGGCAAACTGTTCCAGATATTTGCCACTCGCTTCAGGTCTGGAACCACAAGCTTGTATTTGTGTCCGCGTGTGCTACAAGGCGTTCGCAAGTGGAGCAATGGCCTTAGCATGAGGAAGTCACCTACATGCAGAATCCGGTAGGTCATGATTACCCACATTTCTTGAATCCATCGCACATACATTGTTTCACCAAATGCCTACCTATAATAAATCGTATTAAGACGGACACTTTATCCCTGAGTAAAGTTAGCCGAGGATCAGTTAACAAAACGGTGTTCAAAAGGTTTTCACTATGCTAAACAGAGTAAAAGACTACGTTTGGAAGGCTGATACTTCATTTTCGCTCAGTTGACAAATCTTCGACGCGCATCATTGACTGGCAGTTCCTGGGCATCGTCGCTACAAATCACATCAATGACCATTACTTTCTTGTCGGTGTTCTGGACGGTTGTTCGTTTGGCAGTTTCGTTGAAGTAATAATCGTGAACGTTTGATGTAACGGTGGGTAATATTTTTGATAGATGTATCGTTGCAGGACGAGATCCGTTCGATTGTCCATGGAAAAAACGAACCATCCAAGTAAACAATATTGACCGCACCATGAGAAAAATGATAGGACCAAAGTTATCAATAAAGTAAGCACTATTAGACTGGGTGGATCAATTTGAAGCACTCGTTATGTGAATGGATTGCGACCCGCAATCTCAATGCGGACCGCGATTCCCAGTGAAAAGCAGCTCGACCAATCCGATCACCGAGACCGGGCAGGCAACACACAATTTATACCTGCATCATCCATTCGCAGTGGAATCATTCTTTCACAGAAACAGGATAACTCTACATTAGGAAGTATACCGCATACCGTAGTTCATTCTGGTACTATGTTTAACCGCGAGGTCAGTCAGCTTCTGGGTGACTGAACATAGAGACCACTTGTTACGCTACATCGCCAGAATAAAAAAGATCAACAGCAGAATTTACAGAAGCAGAGTTAACTCACGTGGTTGAAAAACGCAGTAGCAGATATCTTTCTGCGATTCAGGTTCACGGACCTCCCAGATGACTAGTGTCCGGCGTGCCGACGGCTGATGCTGTCACGAGTAGAATCCCACGGTAGCATATATGAGAGTCAAAATTCTATTCCGTAATTCGTTGGTCGTATAATGAAAGGGGAGAAGCCTAGTGTCATTCTTGGTTGCATGCCTAACTGACAATTATGACTACTCCGTTGCCAAAGGAGGGAGTAGCATGCGGCGACATTCGGTGGACTAAGAACTGGTGCTGTTGAGCAGCATAAACACCTTGGAGGCAAGGGCCCTAAAACAACTGGCACTCAAGAACGAATCCAAAAAGTGAGCTACTTGGGTCCATCAATGTCCAGTACCCGCAGGCAACAGCTAGCACATCGATGACCACTGTCCGTCGAAAGGAGACTAGGCCTTAACGTGGTACGACGGTTTGAGACCCATTAAGCTACACTAGGTGGTCCCTGTGCCCCATGAGAAACACCCCCACCAGGTTGGTCAGTGGTTGGAGGTCAGACAAACTCTGTCTCCTGCTCCTCTAGGTTAGGGTTTGGAAATATGATAGCGTCCATTTCTGCAAAAAGCAAATCACTGCCATCTCCCCGCTGTCTTGCAGACAACGCTTTGCTTGAGGACCACAATTGTTCTCCCGTCTAGGTATGGCCGATGTGGCATATCGGCTGTCGCGCAACTGTACGAATTTTGCCTTATCTACTGCATACAGCATGGCGGATAAGCGAAAAAGTGCTACTGCTGACACCTCCCTACTTTTTCTTCCAACTGTTTCGCTTACTCCTCTCCCAGTCCCCATTACTAGCCTTCTATAATTCCCAGCTTACTTGACAGTAACGGCAATGCCACTACAATTATACTATATACAGCTATCTTTCCCCACCACTTACTGGACACCTGAAGCCAACAATCCCTTATAAAGCCACACCGTCCCGTTCCCTTGTTGGCGTTCAACTTTTGCAATCTAAGACAACTAGGTCCACAGGCTACACTCGCAAGCAAGTTGGACACCATGGGTATTCGCATGTGTTCGGTGTTCGAAACTAGGATCAATGACCCTCATGGGGTTGTTTAACCAACTGCGCCCGGCTTGACCTCTCGCTACTGGTTGCACGCAGCCGGAGATGCTGATGTGGTAGCCTCTGGTCAAGCTGGAGTGGGCATCATTCGCGGCCTTAAGCGTGTCATCACTGGTTGCTTGGATTCCCGTAAGCAGCCGCTTGTGTGCACCACGTGCGACGACATCAACCGTTCAAAAACTAGTGATAGACGTTGTTTGTGGTTAGCGCTAAAGTCCCGATAGACTGCAGTTCTGATGCCGCCGATGACACCTACCACTAAACGAACACGCTACTACGCAGTGTTACCAGTTCAGATATTATAGTTCTTGCAGGGGACATGAATGCACAAATTGATCGTCTGAGCTCTTCAGAAGCTGAGATATGTATGAACTTAACTCCGACCGGACGGACCATGGCAAGCATCTGTCACAGCTGAGTGCGGTGCATCGGTTGTTTCTTGGTGGCACCACTTTTGGTTACAGTGAGTGCCGAAGTACCACTTGACGTCCATCTATGGCTGGCCAGCGTGGACCCGAATAGATCACGCTGCCGTAAGTTACAGATGGCGTTGTTTCATCCTTCATTGTCGGTCGTTCTAGAATATATACGTCGACTATGATCATGTCTTGGTATGCTGTCATTTTCTCATGGAATTTACCGGGAGGCGTACCAAGCAAGTCCCCCGATCGGCAACTGAGACTGTATGTAAGAGCAAGTAGAAAGGTTTCTGTACAACTCTATCGAATTATGAAAAATCAAAAAAACATTTAATTGCGAATCGTCAGCGGTAGTGTTTGGTCAGTTAATCGTCTATTCTTGTTAAATTAGGTATTCGGATTGATGTCATTATTTCCAGGCATACGATGCCTTCTTTTGATATTGTATGTGCATCGTTTCACAAAAGCACTGGCTTTCGAAATACGGGCCGATACGTGTTTTAAAATACTTCACATAGTCCTTCAGGTAGTGTATTCCATAAGTTTACAATATTTTGTTCTATACAGAGCTGATGGGATACCTTGTTTATGCAGGGGACGCTGAGTTTGTAACGGTGTCCTCGGGTGTTATAGAGTTTCCGCGGGTGAAATATTGGCAGCAGTATGGGGAAGTGATTCAAGTGTAGTACTCGATTGGTCATAATAAGGTCAACTCTTACTCGACGGTAGGATAATTTGTAGAGTCCGAGCCGTTCACGTTTTTCATACGGAAGCTTCCGTAAATTGGGTGTCATTCTAGCTGCAATGTGTTGTATTTTCTCCAGCTTTCTAGTCTCCCACTGGGTTATCGGATAGTAAGCTGGGGCGCCGTATTCAAGGATTAGTCTAATGAGCGAAGTGAATAGGCAAGGGATGGTTTCTTCGGACCATCTGGAGAAACTGCGTCGTAATGCCCAGAGCATACGAAGTTCCGCACGGTACAATTTCTCTGTATTTTCTAATGATCTCATATCATGTCGCGAGAGCACTACTGAGTCTCTGACAGTAATGTTAGGGTGGAGCAACTGGCCGTCCAAAGTGTGTGATAGAGTGGCTGGACGTCTGGTGATACTGATGAACTCCGATTTGATTGCGTTAAGATGGAGTCGTATTTCAGTAGACCCCGTTGACAGTCTATTTAAGTCATGCTAGAGGCGAGCGCAGTCGTCCTGATTCTCAATGATCCTCAAGATTTTCTGCACACAGGGCACATGGTGACTGGAGCTGCTGCGGGAGATCATTGATATGGATAAGAAATAATACTGGCCCAAGTACAGCTCCTTGAGGCAACCCACTGGTCGATGGGAACCAGTCTGTCAGGTAGTCATTGGCCTGTACCCTAAACTTGCGTCCCACAATAAACTCGTGTAATTACTGAAGTAGTGTGCCAGTCAGTCAGCCGATAGTCGCACCGAGGGTCGCAGGCCATTTGAAAAATGACCAGTGCGGTATGCAAAGCAGTTAATGAATAGGTCACGTATTTGAAATGAGAGGGTGCAAACCAAATCGCGCCACGGAGAGAAACTCGGGGATGGGGCGTTGACAAATCAAATCATGTCACAAAGGTTAATCAAGAGATCATGTTTAAGAAAATAAATTGTCATTGATAGAGCGAAGCATTTAACCTAAGTTAAGCGAGTTACAACAGCTACCCGAGGACACGTGTGCGTACAAAGCATCGAGTAACGAAACGGTGCATATGGCCCAACATATCGGATGCCGGTAATTCACTCGTCCCTTGGATAGGATGTAATCTTTGCCCATGCACTGACAAAGCACCTGTGCGATAGACCCGAATCGACGGAAGTTTGCGACGTCTGGTGCAGGGAGGGTAGTGAGGGCTCGCCAACCACGTGCGATCGATTCGGTGTGTGGATAAACTTAAGGTGTGGGCACAACAAGAAGTAGTCGATTGACAACAACGCAGCAAAGCGAGAAAGCAGAACCAACCTGCAAAACCTCCTCCGGGTCATCCGCCTGCGAAGCCAACTCGTCAGCAACGGAGATAAGCTTCTCTGCGTTAACCAATGTCTTTGCCGCAACCTGATAAACAACCACAAATGAATATCGAGTGGTGAATTCTATGACAAAGAGAATGAGATCGGACCGGTTCGGGTTTATTCAAAATGCCAACGGGAGGAAGAAACGGAAGGCAAAATTCAATTTTGCATGAACTAAAAACAGGCAGCGCATAGGATACGAATGGTCCTATGACCAGAGTACGACGCCATCAAATGGGGTGTGCAATGAGCACACAAACTTAATGTGCTCGGTTTCTCGTCAACGACAATCGCGGCCTAAAGGTGTGTAACTAAGAAGGGAAGAAACGGAAACAAGACAGATGCAACAGTTACCGGGGTGAAATGAGGCGGAAACTGGGGAAAAGGAAATTGTCAAAAAAGAGTGAACAGGCAAATAAAATGCTCACACGTATGGAAAATATGTTAGTATGCATACGGATACCAAAAATAAGTATAACAGTGAACAAAGGAAATGTCAATCTGCCCACCTGTTCAAATTGCATGTGAGTATTGTAAAGCTGTTCTGCGCGCGTAATTGACTTGCCAACTGAAGTTTGTCGCTGCAAAAAAGGTTCTCCATGGTCTGATAGCCATGCCAACACCTGACCAACATCCTCTTTAAACATGAGCACAGAGAGTCGGCAATTGAGGCGAAGCTTGCGTTCATTGTAAACACGTTCCAGTTGTTTGAACCAAGCCCAAATCTGACAGATTTCCACAACGGAAGTGGATGATTAGGGCATGAAAAGGACTCGATGACAACAGATATCAATGGTAATAACTTCAACGAACATACAGTCGAAAACTGAGTACGCTGAAAGTAATTATGCAATAATGATCAGAGAATCGAAATAAGGCAGACAAACGTACCATGATAAATGTAATGGAGGAGAGCAAAGAAACAAGCAAAATGTTCCACTGAAAAAGGCTGGGAATAGTCTGATTAGACCGATAGAAGAGAGTAAAGGTAAGTTGACGAATCTGCTGGGAAATATTTATCTATCCGATGGTAAACTGCTAAAACTACGGATTGGTCAATTATGAATTCCGATCATCAACTCAATTACATCGAGTTTGTATCCTGGCCCAGATGAAATATCGGTTGCTGTGCTCAGATTCAGAGACTCTAATATACTGCTAGGAAATTTTTTATGTTATCTATGAAGACTGAAGTTGTTCCAGTAGTGCGGAAATATGCGCTGGTTACACCAAGATATAAAAGTGATCCACATCAAATATACACAAGCTATCGGCCCATCAGCCATGCTTCCATTCTGTGTAAAACATTGGAATGGGCAATAAAAGAAAAAATCGTCAAATTTCTATCGCCCCGGTGGTTGATCAACAATTTCTAGCCCATATTTCTAATAACACAGCCATGTATGAGTTGCCAAGTGCTATTTCTAAACCTCGTTACTCATTTCAAGCGCATGATGCAACCTGCCTTTTCTTTAATCAGTCAACAGTCCCTAGGCACTTGCTGACTACTGGTCACCGAGTCAATTCTGATGAGTCGTTCACAATCCTGATGCGCAATCAACGGCCCCAAATTCTTCGGCAATCGAAAGCCATCGTTATCGATTGCGAACGACAACCGCTGTGCACTTAAGAACAGCTGACAGTGTTTCCAAGTCTATCGTGGTAGCCCATGCGTTTTGCTATCTATGATCACCGTTTGTTTATGTTCCAATGTTGCATGTTTTGTGAATGAGAAGAATGCACGAAATGATAACATCATCTCAAAATCTACGCCTTCTGATTTTTATGTTTGGACTTATAAAGGAAAATGCTTGTTTCACACTTTAAACTGGCAATCCGACTAGGAGACGGCAACAAACACGTCAGTGGTGTCGACTGCGAATACTGAATACTGAGAAAAGGGCGAAAAGATAAAAATCTGTGTTGCTTCATCGTAGATGGACCGGGCACATGAGAGGAATCACGTCGCTGATTCCTGCGCGGCGGCAGCATATTTCAGCTGCATTACATTTTAACCGAGAGCGATACGATTCTTATACCTGTAGTCCGCAAAGTGGGCGTCAAGGAGTCGCTCGATTTCCGACACTAATTTCGCTTCGACTAGCGTCTCGGGCAATTCGTTCCAATATTTCACCACTCGACGCTCGAAGAATATTGGGTGAACGATGCGAGTTAAACCCGGTACCACTACTTTGTACTGATGTTCGCTTGTGCTGCTTGGTGCGCGAACGTGCAGCTGCGACCTCAAGATAGGTAAGTGGCCCAGGTGCAGTCATAATGAGATCAACTCGAAGCCGGTGATATGACAGGGTACAAAGCCCTAGTCTCTTACATCGGGCCTCGTACGACATACCCAGTAAACTGGGGATGAGCCAAGTAGCAACATGCTGGACCCATTCCAGTCTCCGTACCTCACCTATTGTGATCGGACAATAGGCGGGTGAGTTGTACTCAAGCACCGGTCTTACCATGGAAGAGAACAGACCAAGTGCAGAAGCTGCGTCTAGGTGCCCAAAGCAGGCATAGTCCATTTGTGTACAGTCTGCTCGTGTTGTCGACAGACTTCAGATCACAGCGAGAGTACGCCTAGATCCTTTACGGAACTGGTGGGATGCAGCGGGTGGCTGGCCAGGGTGTACGCACGCCCACAACCACCGCTCCCCAGGCTCAAAAGCGAGGAATTGGCCGGGCCGACCGGTGGATCAACTTCTGCAGACCACCGGGATAGGTGGTTGAGGTCCTACTGAAGGACGTCACAGGCGCAGGGAGAATCAATAATTCTCAAAATCTTCAGGTCATCCGCAAATAATGCGCAGAGTGACAGAGGAAGCTAAGGTACTTCGTTGATCTGGATCAGGAAGAAAATGGGCCCCAGTACTGTGGCTTGGGGTATGCCACTAGTGGACGAGTACCATTCCGCTAGGTGGTCATGCACCTGAACCCGCCATCTTCTCCCAATAAGAAAGTGACTAATCCACTGGTACAGTACGTCACCAACACCACACATCCTCAGCTTGTGGATCAGGACCTCATGGTTCACTTTATGGAAAGCTTTACTGAAATCTATGTAGATAACATCCACTGACTTCCCCGGTTCAACGCTTGTAACTATTTCTGCCGCGTCAACAGCAGGTTGATGATGCACGAGCGCACCTTCATGAAGCCGTGCTGTGTCTGGCGTTAGGAGATCTTTCGACTCCAGAAGCTGGAGAAGACCCTTATTTCACAATCTTCTCGAGCACCTATGCCAAAACAGAGGTGAGACAAATCGACCGGTAAGTGTTCACGTTGTGTGGGACACCACTTATTGGAATCGGCTTCATTACCGAGTATTTCCAATCGCTCGGCACTGCACCCTCGGACAGCGATCTGTTAAACAGATCCGTCACGGCAGGTGAGATGATGGCCGATAAGGACTTCAAAATTAGCTGTTGAAGTCTATCGGGTCCGGCAAGTTTTGTGCCGTCAAGACTGGCGAGTAGACTAAGTACATCTTCTACACCGTAATCATTGTCCTCGAATTCCGTAGGGGCTGCGCACGTCGAGCTCAGCATAGGCGCATGCCCACTTGTAAGTAAAGAATCGAAGTGTCCCGCCAATGTGGACGCATGTTCAGTGCTGGAGGTCAGAGGCTGTCCGTTAGTGACCACTAACACAGCTACGTCACTTGCGGGCCTCAGGTGTCGCTTCACGTAAGCAAAAATCTTCTTGGGAACCGTCTTCGCTGGGGTTGCAAGCTCATCTTCGAAGTTCCGACGCGTTCGCGCTTGTGCGCTGTTGCATAGATTCCGCTGCTTTTGTACGCCTCATAATCGTTGGCAAAGCCAGACACGAGGAATTCAGTCCACAATACGCGTCACCGTCGAGCCAAGTGACCATACTCTCTGTCGAACCAAAGGGGGTTCACTGGTCCAGCTTTCCGATACTTGAGGGTTTTGAAACGAGCGCACAACGATTGCACACCCACTTTTATAACAGACCAGCAGACTTCAACAGATGAATCCTGCGGCAGCAACCAGTCTACTTTACTGGCGGCTCGATTTAGACCATTGAAGTCGGTCTACCAATAAGTGCAGGACGGTTTAGGCGGAGGCGAGTAGGGTAGCTACAGTTCGAGTGGTCGCTAGTTGCCAGAGGCTCCAGGACCTGAATCTTATGTATACGTTGCTCACAACGCGACACAAACCATTGCACCATCGTAGGATCCAGTTCACAGTGCTGGTTAGGTAGAATTAGAACTGTCAGAATGACCCCAGTTGTTTGAACCACAGAGACTTGTTATGATAGACGCAGGACCAAGAGCAGTTAAGCGGTGGACTTAAACCCCTTCTTGTCGTATTTGTATTTTTCCAGTTAAAAAAGTATTCGGCACAAATAGGCAAAATATTGACCCATCAAATTTTCCAGTCTCCGCCAAATAATTATTCTACTAATCAGGAAACTGGTCGATTCCTCCCGTCCACAATCCAAACTACAACAAATAGTTTGTAACAATCAAGAAAAATCAAATAAGGAGGGTGTTACTCGTGAAGTTCTCTAAAGCAGTTTTTCTTCTTGCTGATGTACAGGTGAACTTCGCACTTCGTGCACATGATCACTGTGCAGTGACCTGTGATACTGATAGAATTAAATGTAAGTCCAGAAAATGTCACAAACGGTGCTGAAGGAAAATTGTACATTGTAGATTGCATTTGCAGACAAAATGGTCTAGTACGTTTTCGCGACATACGGCGTGAAGAAGTTAAACACAATAGCCCTACGATAAACAGATTGACAGATGAGCTACATGATCATTAGACAGTAGGAATCAGTTTGTTGTTTTAATGCTGAACATAAATGTAATCAGTATGTTGATTGAGAACGAAGGGGACAAAGTGGATAAGAAATGAAATCATGGAGCGGGAAAATGGAGTCGATAATATATAATCACTGCTTGTACTCAGGTGGATGCGAGAAGTGGTAACGACAGTCAAAATGTGTCTCACTTCATGGACAAGATCGGTGCAGTGCTTTCGACCCTGCGAGTAGTCCACTGCTGCGGTAAGAGAAGTGTGCGAGCCTGTTGGAATGGGTGCGCTCAGGTGATTTGTTAGCGCTCTACCGTCCTCACATACCTCATCACGAGCGGTTTGTGCCTCTTGCCAATAGCTCTGAAAAGAAGGTTGTGAGCGAGGCTTATCGTAAAATCATGGAGATGAGATTAAATCAAAATAATATATAAACAATTCCACTATAACACACGAACGGGATCAACGGCAGACGTTACAATGTTTAGCGAGATTAGCAAACTCGGACCATCAGAGGTGTGGGGACACCTGCGTTTATGGACTGAAGTCCCAACAGATGTCATACTGTATTGGATTGGATTGGATACTGAACTCGGCACAGTAGCCAAGAATCCTACGTAGACCGCTCCATGCATGAAAATGAGGGGCTTTCAAAAACCGTTCGATGCCGTCACAGTTGATAGGCTTATTCCTTGGATGGCAATACATATAGACTAATTCGGCTTTGTTGGTTAAACTTTGATATTTACGAATCGTCGATTGTGCGTTGTCACCGTGTGGAGCCGATATAATTCGATGTACGGAAAGCAGTATTTCGTGTGGGAAACTGGAGGCGGACCAGATGACCGAATGATGCATGCCAAGTGAAGTTCTTCGATTGGCAATAAGACGAGTTGCGCCCATGTGGAAATATCCACAGGTAATTGCGTAGTCCACTGTTACCTTTCGCTTGAGTTTCAATCCGAGTACGTTTGCAACATGTCAATGCTCTTAAGATATCGCACAGATCTCCCATGATGTGCACGCTGATGGCCTAAAAAGACCGTTCCCTCCAATCGTACTATTCACTTAGTGTTATGTCACGGAACAGTGCGACCACCAAAGGTGTAATTGCACTAGTTCATCAAGGACACAGTAACGTGATCGTCGTTGAATGAACATTGGGGCTTGGAAGCCCGTAGCATAAAGGTAACGAGCTTGTCTTGTAATCTGACGGTGCGAATTCTAGCCTGCGTAGGGGTAGCGCGACTCCCGCAGTATCCTTAGCCCACGTGCGACCGGTGGTGATTGCGCGGCAGCGAAGCGTCGGTACTGCGCATCGGCGTACTGCTATTGCCTTTTGCCTATTGGGGTTGGAGCTGATGTCGCATATACAACGCCTGTTTTGGACTGTGCCCGAAAGAATAACTGGGTGCGAATTGTGCCACATTAGCAATACTTATTCCAGACTGACGGATCCAAGTTTACCGTACAGTACCTCCAAATTGATTAATGCCCCCAGCAGCCTGACGTTTCGCTACCAAGGGGAGCTGAAGCGCACAGATATGACAGTGAAATCATGTTCATACAAGGTGTGCCTGAAAATTTCGTTGAACAACCTCCTCGTGGTGCCAGCTGGGTGGTTCGGGTCAATCTCGTTCTAACGAATGGTTCTGCGATAGCGTATCAGGATGTGATGGGTTTCCGTCTGGCAATCTTTCTTCCCATAAAAAGCCCACGTGGAGTATGTGACTCGCCACTAAATAAAGTCACTGCCTCTTACCCAACAAGATGATCCTACCCCTTCACAGACGTCACCCATCCACTTAGAAAGGTTCCTGTGACATATTCTTGCACTGCCAACCAGATCAAACAGAATCACACATGCAACATTACATTAACAACTGTATTCAACATGGTTACACACATACCTACATATGCACATATTCACATAAATCCAGTTTGCAACTAGTTGACTTGCTAGATAGGTGTACAACTACCGATCGTTGTATTACAACGATCATGCCTATGCAGGTGTGTCTCGCACTGTCGAGAATAAACAACACGTTTATTTATTTCTTTAGTTATATGTTAAAAACCGCGCTGGCTATGATGGCTGGTCCATGTATACACATTGAGAGACATGTCAACAAGTCCCCTATCGTCCAAATCAACGATATAAAGCAGTGGTGTATGCTGCGACCAAGCTGACGAAGTCAGTGTGAGAACTCGGGTCGTAACAAGATGGAGCAACGCGCTAGCATGAAGATTTGCTTCAAATTAGGCAAAACGGAGACGGAGACGCACGAAATGTTGATGCGAATGTGCAGCGTTGAAGAAGTGAGAAAAAAGTGTGCTTCCAACAGCTTTACGACCGATGTAAGAAGTGTACTGTAGCCAACTGTGATTGCTTTGAAGGCGAGTAAGGTAGTTTGTTCATAATTCTAGTTTCCTTCAGTTGCTGAGACCAATCACTGAACCTTTTTAGAAGCATCGTGTAGGATTCGACCAACACCTTGTACAGGCCCAACACGTAAACTTTTTAGTGGTGCATGCCATTGATAATCCATTGGCTTTCTCAAGAACCTGTGTAGCACAACCTTGATCCACCTATCCATGGACAATGGTGGGGTGCCCACCGGGTTTGGAATGATGATAGTGGTCACTTATAGGTGTTCCAGAATCATTATATTCAGATCATACTGAATACGGAATATGTGGGTGGATATGTGGTTAGTGAGCCAGGTAGTTGTTACGATACGCGATAACAAGCAAACTAGAAATAGATGCATGTACTTGCAACTGAAGCAATGAAAGATAGGAGAAATAACGAAACGGCGCTGAAATATTGCCATGGAGTCCTGAACTGAGAACGTGCACAAACCTGTAGTGTCAACAGCGCCTGGTGAAGTTCATGAACAGAATTCCCATCCACGTGAAGCATAGCAGACTCCCTGTGCGGACAATTGCCGAGGAAAGATTGGGCACGAGCGTGAAAGCTAGCTGAGAGGTATAACACACGAGACCGATCCTCCAATGCAGCTACGAACGATTTCCACTCGTGTTCCAATTGACCGGCCTGGGAAGACAAAATAATGCAAGATTGGTCGGACAGTTTTGTTGAGAGCAACTGAGGGAGAAGTGAAACTATAATCCTAGCTGAAGGAAAAACGATGAATAGTCAGTGACAAGTGAGAAAGGTGACTAATGTGTAAGGAAAAAGCTATAAGCTGAAGCGTGAATATCAGGTCAAGAAATCATACAACTACAGTAGGTAGTTTCAAGTGCCGTGTTCAAGTTCAAGTTAGAGGTCATTTGATTTTTGGTCTAGAAATGGATGTGAATCGAAACAGGGTCCATGAGAAAAAGCCATTTCAGCTATGAATTTGCGACACAAGTGTGCATGGAACACAGTGTTGAGATGGTTGTGATCGACTAATGAGTGAACAAAAGATATGTACAAAGGGCTTGTGTTCGCGAAGTAGTGAAGGGGAAATTGGAACAATTTAATAAAGTGGCTTTTGAACATACAACCAGTAAGACCATAAGTTTTGGTTAGAATAAAATCAAGAAGACTGACAAGAGAGGTTTGTTGTGTATCAGACATGGTGGAGAACACGGAAAGAAAATCATTTTCATGGATGAAGAAGCTTAGGGAGAATTTTGCGGGGAATTGCGCGGTCAGTAGAGTATATATCGAAACGACTTACTTGCTTTAAAATCTGCTGACTGGCGAAGTGACCCACATCCGCTAACATTCCGGCGACACCGGTTAAACGAGCGATTTGCTCGAACGCAACTGAACAGCCATCAACAAACTGTCTATGCTCGGTCAACAAGTCGGCCGCCTAAAACACAAGTGGTAAATCGGTTACTTCGAGTAAAATGAACAGGGAAAAAGGGAGCGGTAAGCAAAGTGCCGACGGCCGTTTCCGTAAGTGCCAAATAAAGAGGAGCTTCAAAACGAATCAGCTAGATGGATCAATGAGTGTCGAAGCAGTGAGATACCACGGGCACAGATACTAAGCAGCATAATCAAATGTACCTAAAATACTATCAAACTGTGGGGCGACCAGAGAGCATGCGCTTGAAGTGTAACAAAGCTTTCACACGGGTTGCCCGGAGTCGTTGGTGAATAAAAGTATGATGAGATAGTGAAACAAATGAAACAAGATAATCAAACGGTAAACCGTGCTCGAAAAATGTGCCGTCCAAGAAGAAACCAATTAAATTCGTTTAATGAAAAAAGAGTCGAATACGATAGATGAGATTGTGAACCGAGATGCTGCAAGTACAAAATGTTGTTGCGCGTGTTAAGCCAACACAAGCTGAATGGAAATATGACGACAGATCAGCTAGAGGCAGCGTCACCACTGATGCACGTTCTTCAATTATCCTGAGTAACATAGGAGCACAAAAGGAAGATGGCTCACATGTGATGCATTTTGTCCAATGTCAAGGTATTCAGTTAAAAACAATTGACGCTGGCGTCCTAACCAAGTGGCCATACGATTGGCATCTTCCTCGAATAAACGCAGCTGATAGATCTGTTCTAGACGCGAGCGACCAGTTTCCCATTTCTGTTGTAAATGAGCACGAAATTCGTACAATTTCGTAACCGTTTGTCGAACTTGAGGGATCAACTAGAAAGAGAGAATACTGGATAGTTATACAGAGCAGATTCATAAGATTAATGTGTAGAGACAAAAACATGGTAAGTGACGGAGGAAAATAGCTGATTGTGAAACCAGTGACCGTTCTCTTCTGATTACTGAAATTGTTGACGGTGAGGGCCACTTACTCAATGACCCAGCTGAAATCTGTGAAGCATTAATTGACCATTTTGCCACTACCATGAGTCGTGAAGCTGACCCTGTGCTTGCGTGCAGAGCTTATAGTAACAAACCTCTTAAGTAGAATCGATATCTCGCTTAACGGTATGCATCAAGTTATCAAATCAATCAGGTCGTCTTCCAAGCTGGGATCTGATGGCATTTCACCAACCACCAATAAACTAGGAGGTCCAGATATACCACTGGTCTTGATGAACATATTTACCCTATCGCTGGAATCTAGCCACTTTCCAGACCAATGGAAAATATCATTTATTATGCCTCAGCACAAAGGAGGTCTCAAACAAACGATTAGTAACTACCGACTAATCCATTACACTCGGCTATTTGAAAAAAATGGTCAGAAAGCAGATGATGAACTTTGTCGACTCTATTGGTCTGGTCAATAATTCGCAGCATAGTTTTCTTAGCAAACGATGGTGCACTACCTGTCAACTGCATTCCCCGAACCACATTTCAGAAACAATCGATTCCGGCTACTAATAATAATAATGTGTCAGCTGTACGCAGTAACGGCGCTTCGCTGCCGCGCGACCACCACCAGTCGCGCACGAGCTGAGTATACCGCGAGGACGCCCACCCCCACGCAGATTCGAACCGAGGACCTTATGGTTGCAAACCAGGTGCGCAGACCACTCGACCACCAGCCGAGAAATCACGAAATCCTTTCTGAAATTTCTTTGACAACACTTCCAGAGGTTTAGCATGGCTGAGTACAAACTCGGTTTTCGCAGTGTCCTTGAACTTAGTAAAATGAACCAAACTTCTATCGGAGTACCGTCACTTCCATAAACTTAATTTTGTAATGATGCACTCGACGTCATCATACAACTGAGTGATGAGTTTGATCTTGCTCTGTATTTCAAATTAATAACATTTAGTTGTGCAGTGATGTCCACAACCAAAGCCACATCCTGTAGCCAGCTTTCATTTTTTGTTGCCTGTGTGTTGACCTGTCGTCTCCAAAAACATCACTATTTATTGTCTCAACAACTAACATTTTGTCAGCACTTTGTGATATGACGATCAGCGAACTTCTGTGAAGAATGGAACATCGGTGGACTGATTGTTCATATCACCATCATCATCATCAGGTAGTCACTCTAGGTGATTACCGTTCTTCCCCACGCTCAATCACCAGTGGAGTCATTCATGGAAGTGTGTTCGGCCCCTTACTCTTTTTGCTTTACATCAATGTCATCACCACATCTGTAAAACATGGTACATCATTTGTATTTGCTGACAATAACAAACTAGTCTATAAGTTTTGGTGTGACGAGCTTCACGGGACATTAGTGCTCATTCAAGATGACTTACATTCCCTTGAGTCATGGTGCTGCACATGGGTGATGAACCTCTCGGATAAGAAATCAAGCAGCATGTCTTACGGCTGTTGCATCCCCGAAGGATCTATCACACTAAACAATGAACGCGTCCCTATACAGCTGTCCACGCGAGATCTTGGAATTAGGTACTCGACTATCTACAATTGCTTCGAACAGGCCCAATATCAAGTAGCATGTGCCAGACAATCTATGTTCAATATATCAGACAAATTACACACAACTCGTGCTAGAGTTGCGCTTTTCAAGCTACTCACTCGCCCCATCCTCGAATACTGCAGCATAATATACCGCAATATGAGAACGAGTGACAGAATTGCTGTGGAGAACCTGCAGAGGTCATTTACTAAACATCTGGTTGGTAAACACTCTGCCATGAGTTATCGAGAGCGTTGCATTGAACTTCATCTCGAACCAGTTATGATTCGGCGATTGAAGCACAACTTGTTGCTGCTTTTCAACATGCTACACAAAAACACCTATACCGACCTGCCTACACTCAATGTACAACATTTCTCAACTAGAACGCTTCGCAACAAACATTTTACGCTGAAAATATACCGAACGCTAGAACGAACGTCTGCTCTAAATTCTTCCTGGTCAGATACAGCTATCTGTGGAATAAACTACCAATAACACTCAGGTCATGTGACAATGTGGCAACATTTAGTAGCAGACTCGCCAATTACCTTGATTTAACTACCATAATCTCTATATTCACATGGGAAAAATCTCTCAATGAGCTATTCCAAGAGCGGCCCAAAAATATCTAAACACCCATGTTTTTATTACTAGGCTTTGGCCTCAACCAACCGCCAGAATGTTAATACACGAAACGCAAACCCCAATACTCCACCTATGCTTGTCACACATGCAAGACCATGGATACTTCTGTACAAATTGATCGGTGCCGCTACAAAGACAGTTTCCCGCATCAGGAGAAATATACGTATTATTATTATTATTATTATTATTATTATTATTATTATTATTATTATCTGGTCCAAGTGAAGTGTAAACTCAAACTGAGACACGCGAATTGCAACACACACTACTTGAAACCAAATAACGCATATAAAGTACGGACAAACAAATTGCGCGCGTAGGCAGATGAGCAGGAGCTAAAGCGAGTTTTGTGCAGCCGCGCTACACGTAGCTAGAACAGGCAACATCAAAAAACGTACCTGTTGAAAGTCCGGATTCATTGACACCCATGAAGTAGCCAGAAACGAAGCACCTCCACCGGGAGTCTGACAGTGGCCAGGAGTTGTTGAATTCGAGACCGGGTGGGTTTGAGAAGAACTACATGATGGGCTAACGCTAGTGACCGAATTAGCCGCAGCTACTCCGTACCTCAACCATGTAGTGAGACGATCTGCTTCAGCTTCAAGAGCAGAAACGGGTGCTTGGACAACCTGGACAAAACAGAAATAGATTAGCAAATGAAAAACAATAGTGAAAGTAGTACGGATGAAGATTTAGAAAAGTAAGCTAACGTAGTGTAGATTATGGCAGATATTCCTTACAACGAAAAAGTAAAGACAATCTAGCAGCCAAGGAAGTTGGATCACGAAATTCTGTTGGTGTGAATAAGCGGATCCCATCGTCATTGAAATGTGTGACAGCCTGCAAAGGCATCAAGTCAAAGGATCCGGTGTGAGTGCATTCGAATCTCACCACCATCATGAACAGAAATGCAACGTAAAAAAAACTTCGCTATCGTGGAATAATGATGAACAAAGCAATGAGATCCGTAAAGTAATGCAATATCTCAGAATACGTTTGAAAGCGATACGCAGTTCAGAATTTCGGAAGGTTTAAAGTACAAATTGGTTCCTTGTGAGTTTTCCATTGTGGCCAAGCTTTGCTTTTGATGCAAGAGGTTTTTTAAGTCACGTGAATCGGTACACAATTGGCTGTTAAGACAAAATAGGACGACGATTGAGGGAAACAAGTCAATGGATAAAAACAGTACAGATAAATGGATTAAAGGGTCAGTTTAGCTTAACAAAAGGCATCGGACATTGCAGATCTGCGTCATAGGTTGTTCACAAGTGAAGTATTCCTGGTGCTGCTGATTCACGCTGGGAGCTGATTCCGTCCGTTGACGCTTTTCAGACTGTCCGGGTTAAGATAGCCCACCACGCGTTTGATAGCACCACTCATCTGTTCTGTACAGTAATGAACCTTCAGCCTGTAGGACAAATGACTGCGTAAACAGATTCAGTGTGCACAGTTCAAACAGTGAGTTACGCAAGATAGCAAAACACAAAAGGCAGGTTCTGCGTCCACCGAGAAACGAGCCTGAATACAGGGCCCTACTGAGAGATGCAGCGGTGGCAGACAGACTAGGCCGGACGCTAAGTTGCATAATTACAGTGCACAGGTTTCGGCAAGTGCTTCGAATGCCTACTGACCGTTTACTTCGTCGTGTAAGATTTGCGCGTGCAGAAATCGGCTAGAAGCGAAAACGAACTGACCAACGAATGACTTTCGACAAAAGCATGTAAGCGCTTAGCTTAAAATATGACCGCGGTCGTACGTTCTTAATCCCCCTGGATGGGGGCGTAAGGGTCACGAACAAACATGGTTGGAAGCTCTTTCGGACATAGCAAAATGCTATGCACAATGCCGAACATGATGAGAGACTGCACTCCCAAAAGTACAGATTTACCTCACCTTTATACATTATGGTTCAATAGTAGTCATCCAAATGTTGAAGCAATCTGCAAATTGCAAAAAAAGTGACGACTGGCTTTGACGACGGACAAGTACAGGCTCACCAACAAAAGCAAGGCTATTTTATTTTTTTTAACCGTCAACAGGAATGGAATCCGTGACCTACCCGCAAATCGTGGTTGCTGACGATGCAGTGGAAATGCCTTCGAAATTTTGTAACATCAGGGGCATATTATACACACATACAGAGTATCCGCGTATCGAAGGAGAGTGTTGCATTTGGCAAGCTGGGATATCTGGTATGAAAGAATCACCATCTGACCGTTAGGACGAAGATGACGGTGTACAAGACTAATGCCGTCAGTTCTTTACGACGGCGAAACATGGATGATATATAATAAGGACATCAGACATTTGGTGCGTTTTCATTGATAGTGTCTGGTCGGATTCTGCACATCCGAAAGTGTTCACCGAAGAAGAGTGAGAGGAGTGGACTGTAGACTTCTGCTGAGACACATCAGACCGACCGGACATGTGCACCGTATGGATTCCCCAAATACATCTGCCACATGGCCAACCTAATACAGAGAAGCGGAAAGCGGGCGAACCGGATCTACGTTACCAGGACATGTTCAAGGTGAGTGTATCCAGAACAAATGTTGACTTTAGGTGTTGGGAAACAACGACAGTGGATTGCCGCCAGTGGTATGATCACATCAGCGTCGTACACCAGGAAGGAAAACGCCGGTTAAGGAAGTGGCTAGCACTGATGGAGCTTAGCCAACCGATGTCAAGCACATTATGCCGTAACACATGCAGTCCTGAGTGTGGCAACAAAGTCAGTCTTATCAGCCACAAGGTGGGGCGAATATCGAAGAGGTGACCAGTAAGCTGATTAGGTAAACAAACGCGCAGCGCTTGGTAAGGGTGCTGATTCCGCTGCAATAGGCTAAACCAGGTTAAGTATGCAGTAGATTTGCACATGCAATGCACTGTTCTTGCAGCTGGTCTAAATTGTGCCTGCGTAAATACTTTCCCGCGTTTTAGGTGGATGATAACTGATGTCAACCCAACGCAACAACACTAGACCTCAACATGGTGAGATGGTTTGCGTGCCTCAGCAATCAATGGAGCTATACTGGGTGAAGCATTCTGCATCTTTAGAGCTACTCATACCAGATTGGTTAATGGTTAGGTGGCAAACCAACACAGTCTCTCGGTTCTCCAGATTGGGGGTCAGGAGAGTGGCCGCATATTCCTTGTAACACAGTGCCGAAACACAGCTGCTTTGCTGCCAGGTTTTTAAATCAAAGGCTCTGGTTGAGAGGCTTAGTCGTTTCCCCGTCTACGCCTGAAAACCTGGCAATTTCTCACTCACGCAATACAATGCACTTATCCTCAAACAATATCTTTCAGCACTGACCGTCGCAGAGAATAACCAACGGCGCCCTATCTGCTGTATAGAACAGGGCGAATAGGGTTAAGCGTGCTACTGCTCAAGCCATCCCGTCTACTTAATCCCCCTATTGCACATTTACATCTTCATCGTCCCTACAAACTTCACTTTTATGCCCATGTGTACAACCATCCTAATTCGTGGCCATTCCAACTACTTTCAACGGTCGATTATCTTCCAGTTTCGATTCACACGCAATCGCAGAGCGTCGCTCCAGTCCAGTCGACAACTCCATGTTCAAAGAAGCGGACAATGTCAGTTCAACAGTTTCTCTTGAAGCCCCCAATCCCCGCTAAGACTGGCACGCGTCAACGTGCGCAGTTTACTCTAAATGGGCCAAAAGCCAGCACTTGCCCGAACACTATAGACTCTATCAATCGACGTCTGTTGCTGATCGGAAATCTGCCTACCAGACGCGAGTTCCGTCATTGATACGCGATCCCTCACAAACGACATGGGCGGTGGGTTGTCATTGCATCTGCCTGGAGATAAAGCAACTACGAATAATGGTCATGCTGGTGTGGGCATTGCCTTGAGTCCTCGGGTTGAAGCTGCGGTGGTTGACTTGATCCCAATCAACAGCTCGAGGTGTGCCGTCAGACTGGCTGACTCCTTCAGAGCTTCAAAGTCGCACGCAGACAAATGGGGTCTGTCTTTGTAGAGCTGATTCGGTGAAAGATGGATTTCATCGCCAACTGAACGAGCTCCTTCGTCACAGAAGAATCACGGATACTGTGATGCTGGCAGACGACCGGAAAATCCATGTTGGAAAACTGCGCACTGAGGAGCTGCATCTGGGCGGCCAAAACGGTGTTGGCTCTCATAGGGATAACGGCGACCGGTTGTTACACTTGTGTGGAGATGCTCGTCTATTTATCGTGAGCACTAACTTTCGACACAACACTCGTCGGAGAAAGACATGGCGCCCACTAACCTGCAACTAGCAGTGGACTCAAATCGATCACACCACGATAAGTAACCCATGGACAAACTGTGTTCAAAACTGTCACTCGATTTGGTGCATGGGCATGGACTCTGAGAACGCACACATTCGTGTCGATCTTTCAGTTCGCCTCGGAGGGCACATGCGGCGACCATGTGACCGCATTAATACTTGACGACTGGCGAAATCAGATGTTTTAAAAGCGAAGCAAAGTACAAAAAGGGTACCAACAGCACGCCGGTACGTAGTACTGACGCTTCACTACAGTGTAACCATCAACAATCCCACATGGGATAAGGATACTGAGAGAGTCGTCCGGTCCCCTACGCAGGCTCGAATTGCATGGAAGGCTTGTGAACATCTAGGCTACATGAATGCGATACCTCCGGCTACGGGACGGATAAAAAATATGCAATGCTGGCAACTGACCACAGTAAGCGCCCTCTGAATATAGTAGAAGACCACTTGTAGGATAACCACCAGACAATATTAGCAGTAGACTTGCATTCATGTGGCGAATCAAATTATCAACCTGAAAATTGGGTCTTTAGGCAGTCTCCGGAACTACTGAATGCTCACCGACACAATCTCGGCTGGGAGCGAACACAACGACACTAGCAACGACCTCAGAACGAAACTGCGTGCCTTCCTGAAGAGAGACCGCACAGCCTGCTGGTCTCATCGTGCATCGGAGATCGAAATTGTCACTGCGCTTCGCAACTATCGGAAGTGATTCCGCCTGATACGGGCAGTAGGAGACCTGATGCTAGTAAAACCATATATAAGGAGAGTCGAGGGTCAATCCAAAGTTTGTCACAACGCTTGGACCCTCGTACCAAACACTTGGTAAAGCATCCTAATCAATCAGAGTTACCAGCTGCTCCATCAGCCATTGGTCACTCTTCTTTCTGGGCGGTTCCTCTGGACCCGCCGTCATGCGCAGAAGTCGAACGTGAGACCAGAGAGATGAGAGTGAATAAGGCTGCAAAACAGAACAGAATCCCCCAGTACTCCTCGAATTCGGAGGACCCACTCTTGTAGATGATGTGCATAACTTGCATTTGAAGTTGTGCGAACAGGAGACTGTCCCAGCAGACTGGAGCCGCCTCGTAATGGTCCCAATATTTAAGGGGTCTCATGTATCGAATTCGACAAGCACAACAGGGTCAGTCTGAGCTCAAGCGCCTCTAACATACTCGCCTATGTCAATTTGCATAGGCATACTGACAACCGTGCAAGTTAAATTCGTGAGCAGCAGGCCGGGTTTCGTCGAAGCCGCGGCTGTATCGATCAGAGTCTCATAGTACGTCAATTGGTGGAGCACGAGCAAATTCATTGGCGACTCACCGTAGGAATCAACAGTACGTCGGGACGGAGTCCCGAGGCTTTGTTACCTGGCAACCAACAAACGTCGCGCGGTGGGCTAAGGATACTGCGATGGTCGCCCGGGCCCTTATTCAGGCTCGAATCTTCCCCTACGGTTTACAAAGCATGTGATCTTTTAGACCACGAACTGTAGTCGTGTTCCTCGACATCAAAGATGCCTTCGATAAGTTGGATCGATGTGCCCTTTGGGACTGTCTAAGCAGGAGAGCTGTGCCCGAAACATAAGTAAACATTATCAAGAGCGATGTACTCGCATAGTTCAGCAGAGTGATGCCTTACGGCAAACTGTCGCCTTCTTCCAATGTATACAGCGATGTGAGACAAGCATGCCCGTCATCACCTTACTTTTTTAACTTCTCCATTGACGAAGTCATGGAGATTGCTTTCACTGGAAACGACTCGCAAAAAGTGGAGCTGCTCCCAGATGATCGACCAGTTGACATGAAGTACGCTGACGACATCGCCCTCATCTGTGACAGCTCCCAAACGTGCCAAGTAGCACTGGACAAATTAGCATTGACTGTCAGTCGTACCATACTACGCTTTGCACTCCGCGAAGTGCAAAGTCCTTCTTCAAAATTGGCAGGGACCACCTCTGCGCCGAATTTTGGTGGTGATCAGCTAGGTGTTTTCGATAAATTCAAGTATCTAGGCAGCTATATCAGCGCCAGTGGAACGGATGATATCACTAACCGTATAGCAAAAGTTCGAGGCACTTTTGCCAATCTCCTGTCTGTGGCGCCGGTGCGACATCACTCTCGCCTTGAAGGGCAGAGTTTACAATGCAGCCGTCCATTTAACCGTCCTGTACGGTTGTGAAACCTGGCACACCAAGCTGATAGACGTAAAGAGGCTAGTAATTGTGATGGTGGCTGAAAGGTGAGACGAAGGGAATCGCCTGCCTCAGTGCGATCGATAAGACGATCGATCGAGTGGGCGGGTGAGTTTTTAAAATCACAGCAAGTCGTACATCACCTCAGACTTGTGAATAGAACTGGCCTTAGATAACAGTTGGTCGTTGCTGGAGGGGACGAGGTGCACGGTTCTTGTGGCTGTGTTAGGATCAAAGAGTCGTTCCATGCACTCAGTGTGGAGCGGACTACGGTCCAGCCACCGCCTTGTGTGCGATTGATTCCCCAAATACAGTGTGCTTGTGTTTGCCTGTGAAGGAGTGTGGGCCGGCTCTGTTGATGAAACGTGGTTCCCATCCACATGCCTCCCGGTCTTATTCCTTCGGGTTTACACTGGATATGGGGTGTGTGGTTGGAGCTGTGGGTGGTGCAGCGCAAGCCACCCATGGTCCCTCTGTAGGCGCAGGCGTCCTAGGGCTGGCCACAGTGACAAACAAATCTGAAATCGGATGCCGCCAACCATATATATACAGCACGGGATCAATAGACAGATATAGGCATATGTAGTACGCCGGTGATTCGCACCGACGCCTTGTTACCGTGCGTCCAAAAGCGGCTGCGCACAAAGTCCCTGCGAGTACGCAGTGATCAGTGGGTACTGTTGAAAGATACCTGTCGATGACAGAACTCCAGTAGTATCGCAGCTGTCGTCAATTGCACTACGAGCAATATAAATTTTAATCGTTAGAATAGGGAAAGATGCAAGAGAAACACATACAAAAAATAGTGAGGACGTTTGCAGTAGCACTATTTCGCTCATCCGCTTTGTAAGTTTAACTGGCACTTTAGGACTATGCGGCAGCAGACTCTTGAAATGGTTGGAAGCTGAAGATAAATCCATGACTGTGCACGTAAGATGATTTCGAGGCTTACCTTCAACCTCAAGGATCTGTGATCTTCAAGAGCCCGCTTTGAAGTATCCACGGTGTCCAATTCAAGTTTACGGTCAAGAAGGAAAAACAAGTGACTGAACTTGTCCGACATGTCCTGTGCGGTGAAGAAAAACTCCTCAAGACAGCAACGAATCTGGATCCATTCATCGTGTTGATACGGCAGGCTTCCCTAGAGAGAAAGAGTGTGCGAAACAGAATGGGAAACGACCTGAAGTCAACAAACAATCACGGTAGTCACTGATGCTAAATAGTGAATTAACCTCTGCAAGTTAATGTCCCACACCACATGAGTATGTGGTGCAGTCTGAAATGAAGGAATCTCAGGCGCGTCAAAGAAACACAAGTCCCAGATAGGCAGGGTAAGTAAACCAAATTCAATCGTAAAGCTAAGTGTCTTGTAATCCACACAGTTGGCATCATACAAGTCTGCTTGATGCGTAGGGGTCATATAATAACAGTTGAAAGAGGCCGCCAGATGGAGGTAAGCAGTTTTGAACCAGAGAATGGAATAGGGTAGAAACAAACCGATAAAATAAAAAACGATAGAGATCAAGTTAACAAACGGTAGGTAGTCCCATAATTGCTAAAACAAAGGAATTACTGGAGTGACATGAATTAACGGCGGAGCAGCGGGGGAAAAGTTATAAAAAAAACGAAACGAAAACTAACATCCAACTCGGCGGTAAGCTGGCTTGGATCCACTTCTCGAAAAAGCGTTTCCATGGAGACGAGTTGAATTTCAAAGCTGAATTTTCCAATAGCCATATTCGCCTTATGCTTTTCGATTATTTTGTCCGGCTTGATGATGTAGGTAATAGTCACATTGGAACCAATACATTTCTCCACTACCTGAGGAAAATCATGAAGGAAACTTAATAAGTAGGAGAGAAGAGGGCAAAATTAAGTTAAAAACCGAAAATCAGTAGCGACGGTGTCCAATAGCAAAGAAAGTACTTTTAGAGAACATAGTAGACAGTTTCAGCTTAATTCAAGGATAAACTGCAAGGATATTCGATCCCGTGTGAGTAGACAGTGATATAGTAGATTGGAACCACAATATTACATATTGATTTTAAGGGGGGAGTCCGATACAGTTGATCGCTAAATTCTGTTTCACGCTCTTGGTCGGAGAGGCGTGTTCGTCAAATGCTTGAACTTTGGACGTACCCCTTGCGCAAACCACCCTGGGAAAAATGATGAGCTGTCAGACGTCCTCCTGAGAAAAAGTGGTATTCATTTAAGTTACCGCATACTCATTCTCAGAGCGATGCTTGCTCGAGTCGTACAATACAGATAGTGTGGCTCTGCAGGGGAATAATCGGTTGATTGGAGTTACGCAGATGGCATCACGAGGTAGCATAGTTAATCCATACCGAATTTTAGAGTGGACCAAACGGTTGACATCCAAATAACAAACACAAAAGTGCAAAGTGCAGCAGCAGAAGATCCAATCACCTAGAAGTCCATTGAACATTGCAAAAAAGGAACTGGGAATAGATGATCGGCATCTGGCGCCCATTTCTGTAAAACCAAATCATTGCCACCTCCCGCAACCTTGTGAACAGGGTTTCAATTCAAAAACTTCGGTTGTGGACCCTGATCATCCTCCTATCTAGGTCTGGACGCCCTGGCAATATCTCAGCCCACATACAACCATGACTTTCTTCAAAAACTTATTCCTGCATCGGCCGTCGCGCAGATTATCAATGGACGCTGCATACAGCAAGGCGGATAAGCGAAAATTTACTACTACTGGCGCCTCCTTCCTTTCCCACCTATAGTCTCGTACTCCCATCCAGACTCTCGTTACAAATCTTCTATAATTCCCAGGTTAATTGACAGCAACCGAAATGCCACTGGAATAGAATCATCTGCAGCCACCTCGCGACACCCACCGGAGGTCTATCGGCAACAGTCACTTATAAGGCCATGCTGTCTCGTTTCCACAGCGGCGTTCAACGTCCGCAATCTAAGACAAGTAGATCAACAGGCCGCACTCGCACACACGTTAGACACACTGGGTATTGATGCGTGTTGTGTGTCCGGAACTAGGATCAATGACCCTAACGGAGTTGTTGGATTAAATGCGCCCGGCTTATCCTCTCGGTATTGGCTGCACATATCCGGAGACGTCGATGCAGCACTCACAGGTCAAGCTGGTCTAGGTATCATTCTAAGCTCCAAGACTGAGCCATCGTTGGTTGATTGGATTCCGGTGAACAGCCATCTATATGCAGCCCGATTGACGACATTAACTAAGGTTAATTCAAGAATTAGTACAAAACGCTGTTTGTGCGTTCCGCTTATGCTCCCACCGACCGCAATTCTAATGCTGTCGAAGGCATTCTATCACGAACTGAACGCGCTACTACGCAGTGCTACTAGTTTAGATATTATGGTACTTGCAGAGGATATGAATGCACAAGTAGGGTGTCTGAGCTCTCTAGGAGCTCAGCTGGGTGGTAATTATGGGCTTAACTCCGAAAGGACTGGCAACGGCGAGCGTCTGCTTCAACTGTATGCGGAGCCTCAGTTGTTGCTTAGTAGCACTGCTTCTAGACAGTGTGCGCCGAAGTGCCACTTGGCTTCCTCCTGTAGCTGGCCAGCGATGGACCCAAATTGACCACATTGCCAGTAGTTACAGGTGGCATGCTTCCATCCTGGATTTCCGCTCGTACTGGAGTACCTGAGTCAACTCTGATCATGCCTTGGTACGCTGTCGTTTTTCCATGAACTTTACCGGGAGGCGCACCAAGCGTCTCCTCCGGTTGGCAGCTGAAAAATTGCCCCAGCCCTCGGTCAAGCAAGTCCATCAAGATGCAGTGCGTAAAGAACTTTCGCTGCCTTGTCCTAATGACACTGAGCTTCAGTGGAATAGGATCTGGGTTGCCATGCATGACTCAGGAACATCTGCTTGTGGGACTAGCAATCGTCACCGAAGCAGCCACTGGATATCCGAGAGGTTTGTGAACCTGTTGGAATCCAGAAGAAACCTCCAGACTAGCTCTGAGTACGACGTCACCAGACGGACTATTGGGCGCAAAGCAAAGCGAAGCCCACTTGCTGACAAGGAAATCTGATGGACCAGCGGGGTTCAAGAAATGGAGGAGACAGAAGCAGTAGGCAATTACCGCAAGCTCTTCCAGCTGATCCGCACCACTTGTCCCAGGAAACCAGACGTCAGTGAGATAATCAGAGACAGCGCGGGTGCACTGCTACACAATAAGGGGCACTGTATGGCCCGCTGGGCGGAACACTTTCAAGATCAGTTCGGCTGACCCCCTGCTACTCAGGTGATTCAGGACGAGCCATAGACGGTTAGTTTAGATCCTCTATCGGAGGCCGAGGTCCGAAACGCGATCGCAGCCCTTAATCGTTTTCGTGTCACTGGAACGGATTCCCTCTCACATTCACCATTTGAAGATGGAGATGAGGTCCTCTGCAAAGCACTGCCCTCCCTATTCGAATGTATTTTGAGCGAATCCATTACAGTGGCAGTATACATAAAGAGTAGTCGCACCGACTGTTCTAACCACAAGGGTATTGGCTTAACGCTAGTTGTGACAAAAGTACTGGCCTCGATTCTCGTTCGTCGCCTCGCTGTGGAACGGGAATCTCGGATTTGGCAAGAGCAGGCCGGTTTCCGCCCAGGAGGTAGCTGTATAGACAATATATTCACTCTGCGGCAGATGTTAGAGCAGTGCCACGCATACCGCAGACCCAAAATAACTGTATTCGCTTTCAAGAGTGCACTCGATTCAGTCGATCGATCGATTCTGTTCGAAATAATTGCGCGGAAAGGTCTTCGCACGAAAGATGTGAACATCCTATATGCTCTATACTCGAACACTACAGGCTGCGTCAGAGTCTACGGTGACCTGTCGGATAGCTTTCGACCACAAGTGGCGTTCACCAGGGTTGTCCGATTTCCCCATTTTGTTCAATTTCGTCGTGGATTCTATCATGGAGTGTTCCCTTGCGGAATCCCACGATGTAGGAGTTGAGACCCTGCCTGGTGAAAGGTTAGTTGGTTATGCGGACGATATCGTTTTGCTTTTCGACGATGTTGCGGCGGCACAATCAACCCTGAATAGCTTGTCTAGAGTAATCTCACTATTCGGTATGCGCTTCGCACCTTCAAAAAGCAATGTTACTGCAGGATCACCAGTCCCTTGATGACCCCTCGACCCTTGCTAACAAGGAACTCGAGGTGGTTGATCAATGCACTTATTTTGGCAGCCGCATCAGCAACGATGAGCGCATGGAAACCGATGTCAACTCACGCGTTGCAAAGGCCAGAACTGCGTTCTCGAATCTGCGGTATATTTGGCGACAGAAGGGAGTTTCCCTCCATCTGAATGACCGTGTATACAAGGCCACAGTGAGGGCCGTTCTGCTGGATGGTAGTGAGACTTGGCCCCTTCGGTCTGAAGATCTGAGGCGCCTTTAAATTTTTGTTCATCGCTATCTGAGAAGCATTGCTGGTGTCGGATGGCACCAGTGTGTCTGCAACGATGATGTGCGTAGGCGAGTACTAAGTAGTGATGATCATACTAACTCCCTAGAACAACAGATAGCACTGAATAAATTGCGTTGGCTTGGGCACGTGTCACGTATGCCTGGTCACCGCTTAACTAAGAGGGCCTTGTGTAGTCTGCCAAGTGCAGGGTGGCGTAAAGCTCGAGGTGGACAGAAGTTGACTTGGCAGCGTGAAATGAAGTCACTGACGACCAAACTGGGTGCCGTTGGTCCGTCTCGGCTTCCGGGCTGCAGTCCACGTGACTCGCGTTGTGCTTGGCTTGAGATTTTACGGGGCGTGGCTCGCAACCGACACCAGTGGCGCGTCTGCTGCCGTCTCCTAATCGGATTGCCTGATTAAAGTGTGTTTGGTGCTGAGTTATCTGCGAGGCAGTGAAATCCGGAAAGAAGCTGTTTTGCTGATGCCACCTAAGCTTTGCATGAGAGCCAGTTATTTGTGACGGTATGTTGCTAACTTAAGGTGTAGGTGCCTTGACGCTGAATGTTCGCTTAGGGCATTAAGGCTTTCAGGCAAGCCCCCTTCTCTTTCTCTCTTATTATGCTTTATTCCATAGATCATTATGGTTGTATGGCAGCGAAACATTAGTTAAAATAGCTGATGTATTGCAGTTGGTTGATTGATTGATTAAGCTGTGTAAGCAGTGCATAAGCCATGACGCGCGTGTGACGAGTGAAAGTAGTTCAAGGATCACAAGACCTTTTATGAATCGGCAATGTCTCAGGCATCGGAAAAGTAATAGCACTGATTTTGCAGGCCGTTTTACAGGAATGCAGTGGGAGTGATTCTGTCGATATGAGTGAATCATGGCTGCACCGGTTCTTACATCTCAGCTGCTTTAATCTCCTTGAACATTGATAATTTTAGGCACCGAATACGTTAACTGACACCAAGATCTCCGCAGCGATTAGGTGAACGACAGAGTGATAAATGGAGCCAAGGTCGTCAGTTCACCAGATCAGCAAATTGGACTGGACACTTTACGCGGCTTTCAGGTAAGCGTCACGACCGCCTGTTTATTGCCCATCAACAATAGGTTGATTCCTCATTCCATGCTCGATGACATGGCGCTGGAGACTGGACCTTAACGTGCTGTGATGGTTTGCGTGTCACAGTAATCCATTAAGCTATGTTGGGCGGCGTTTTCTGCACCTCTAGAGCTACTCATACCAGATTGGGCAGTGGTTAGAGGCCAGACCAACTCAGTCTCTTGGCTATTCAGATTGGGGTCTGGAGATTGTGGCTCAGTATACTTTAAAACAGACTCCTTTTAGTCCAGCGCCTAAACCCCGTAGACTTGAAGGTAGGTTTT